GTTGACTGTGCCTTTAAACAGCTTAGAAAATTCCAGAAAATGATGTCATGGCTTTAGAAGCTTCTGATAGGCTAATTGACATCATTTGGGTCAATTGGAGGTGTACCTGTGGATGTATTTCAAGGCCTACCTTCAAACTCAGTGCCAGCAAAGGACTTTGTTTAGATGCTGGAGGAAACAGGTACAAAAGTATCTATATCCACAGTAAAACGAGTCCTTTATTGAGATAACCTGAAAGTCCACTCAGCAAGGAAGAAGCCACTGCTCCAAAACCTCCATAAAAAAGCCAGACTACGGTTTGCAACTGCAAATGGGAACAAAGATCGTACTTTTTGGAGAAATGTCGTCTGGTCTGATGAAACAAAAATAGAACTGTTTGGCCATGATGACCATCATAATGTTTGGAGGAAAAAGGGCGAGGCTTGCAAGCCGAAGAACACCATACCAACCGTGAAGCACGGGGGTGGCAGCATCATGCTGTGGGGGTGCTTTACTGCAGGAGGGATTGGTGGACTTCACAAAATAGATGGCATCATGAGGAAGGAAATGTATGTGGTTATATTGAAGAAACATCTCAAGACATCAGTCAGGAAGTTAAAGCTTGGTCGTAAATGGGTCTTCCAAATGGACAATGACTCCAAGCATACTTCCAAAGTTGTGGCAAATGGCTTAAGGACAACAAAGTCAAGGTATTGGAGTGGCCATCACAAAGCCCTGACCTCCAATCCTATAGAACATTTGTGGGCAGACCTGAAAAAGCGTGTGCGAGCAAGGAGGACTACAAACCTGACTCAGTTACACCAGCTCTGTCAGGAGGAATGGGCCAAAATTCACCCAATTTATTGAGGGAAGCTTGTGGAAGGCTACCCGAAACATTTGACCCAAGTTAAACAATTTAAAGGCAATGCTACCAAATACTAATTGAGTGTATGTAAACTTCTGACCCACTGGGAATGTGATGAAATGAATAAAAGCTTAAATAAATCATTCTCTCTACTATTATTCTGACATTTCACATTCTTAAAATAAAGTGGTGATCCTAACTGACCTAAAACAGGGAATTTCTACTAGGATTAAATGTCAGGAATTGTTGAAAAACAGAGTTTAAATGTATTTGGCTAAGGTGTATGTAAACTTCCGACTTCAACTGTATGTATCTCTGTGTCTCTGTCTCTATGTATAACTGGAGTCTGTCTCTCTGTCTCTGTGTATAATCGGAGTCTGTCTCTCTGTCTCTGTGTATAACTGGAGTCTGTCTCTCTGTCTCTATGTATAACTGGAGTCTGTCTCTCTGTCTCTGTGTATAATCGGAGTCTGTCTCTCTGTCTCTGTGTAAAGCTGGAGTCTGTCTTTCTGTCTCTGTGCATAACTGGAGTCTGTCTCTCTGATTCTGTGTTTAACTGAATTCTGTCTCTCTGTCTCTGTGTATAACTGGAGTATGTCTCTCTGTCTCTGTGTATAACTGGAGTCTGTCTCTCTGTATAACTTAAGTATGTCTCTCTGTCTGTATGTATAACTGGAGTGTGTCTCTCTGTGTCTGTGTATAACTGGAGTGTGTCTCTCTGTGTCTGTGTATAACTGGAGTATGTCTCTCTGTGTATAACTGGAGTGTGTCTCTCTGTCTCTGTGAATAACTGGAGTCTGTCTCTCTGTCTCTGTGTATAACTGGAGTGTGTCTCTCTGTCTCTCTGTATAACTGGAGTCTGTATCTCTGTCTCTTTGTATCACTGTAGTCTGTCCTTCTGTCTCAGTGTATAATTGTAATCCGTTCTTCTGTCACTGTGTATAACTAGAGTCTGTCTCTCTGTCTCTGTTTATAACTTAACTCTGTTTCTCTGTCTTTGTGAATAACTAGAGTCTGTCTCTCTGCTTCTGTGTATAACTGAATTCTGTCTCTCTGTCTCTATGTATAACTGGAGTGTGTCTCTCTGTCTCTGTGTATAACTGGAGTCTGTCTCTCTGTCCCTGTGTATAACTGCAGTCTGTCTCACTGTAACTGTGTATAACTTGAATCTGTTTCTCTGTCTCTGTGTAAAGCTGGAGTATGTCTACCTGTCTCTTTGTATAACTTAAGTCTGTCACTCTGTCTCTGTGTATTAATGTAGTCTGTCTCGCTGTCAATATGTATAACTGGAGTCTGTCTCTCTGTCTCTTTGCATAACTGGATTCTGTCTCTCTTTCTTTGTGTATAACTGAAGTATGTCTCACTGTAACTGTTTATAACTGGTGTCTGTCTGTCTCTGTGTATAACTTTAGTATGTCTCTCTGTCTCTGTGTATATCTGGAGTCGCTCTCTCTGTCTCTTTGCATAACTGGATTCTGTCTCTCTTTCTTTGTGTATAACTGAAGTATGTCTCACTGTAACTGTTTATAACTGGTGTCTGTCTGTCTCTGTGTATAACTTTAGTATGTCTCTCTGTCTCTGTGTATATCTGGAGTCGCTCTCTCTGTCTCTATGTATAACTGGAGTCTGTCTCTCTGTGTCTGTGAATAACTGGAGTCTGTCTCTCTGACTCTGTGTTTAACTGAATTATGTCTCTCTGTCTCTGTGTATAACTGGAGTCTGTCTCTCTGATTCTGTGTTTAACTGGAGTCAGTCTCTCTGATTCTATGTTTAACTGGAGTCTGTCTCTCTGATTCTATGTTTAACTGAATTCTGTCTCTGTGTATAATCGGAGTCTGTCTCTCTGTCTCTGTGAATAACTGGAGTCTGTCTCTCTGACTCTTTGTTTAACTGAATTATGTCTCTCTGTCTCTGTGTTTAACTGGAGTCTGTCTCTCTGACTGTGTTTAACTGAATTATGTCTCTCTGTCTCTGTGTATAACTGGTGTCTGTCTCTCTGATTCTGTGTTTAACTGAATTCTGTCTCTGTGTATAATCAGAGTATGTCTCTCTGTATCTTTGTATAACTAGATTATGTCACTCTGTCTCTGTGTATAACTTAAGTCTGTATCTCTGTCACTGTGTATAACTGGAGTGTGTCTCTCTGTCCCTTTGTATAACTTAAGTATGTCTTTCTGTCTCTGTGTATAACGGAAGTCTGTCTCTCTGTCTCTCTGTGTATAACTGGAGTGTGTCTCTCTGTCTCTCTGTATAACTGGAGTATGTCTCTCTTTCTCTTTGTATCACTGTAGTCTGTCCTTCTGTCTCGGTGTATAATTGTAATCCGTTCTTCTGTCACTGTGTATAACTAGAGTCTGTCTCTCTGTCTCTGTTTATAACTTAACTCTGTTTCTCTGTCTTTGTGAATAACTAGAGTCTGTCTCTCTGCTTCTGTGTATAACTGAATTCTGTCTCTCTGTCTCTATGTATAACTGGAGTGTGTCTCTCTGTCTCTGTGTATAACTGGAGTCTGTCTCTCTGTCCCTGTGTATAACTGCAGTCTGTCTCACTGTAACTGTGTATAACTTGAATCTGTTTCTCTGTCTCTGTGTAAAGCTGGAGTATGTCTACCTGTCTCTTTGTATAACTTAAGTCTGTCACTCTGTCTCTGTGTATTAATGTAGTCTGTCTCGCTGTCAATATGTATAACTGGAGTCTGTCTCTCTGTCTCTTTGCATAACTGGATTCTGTCTCTCTTTCTTTGTGTATAACTGAAGTATGTCTCACTGTAACTGTTTATAACTGGTGTCTGTCTGTCTCTGTGTATAACTTTAGTATGTCTCTCTGTCTCTGTGTATATCTGGAGTCGCTCTCTCTGTCTCTTTGCATAACTGGATTCTGTCTCTCTTTCTTTGTGTATAACTGAAGTATGTCTCACTGTAACTGTTTATAACTGGTGTCTGTCTGTCTCTGTGTATAACTTTAGTATGTCTCTCTGTCTCTGTGTATATCTGGAGTCGCTCTCTCTGTCTCTATGTATAACTGGAGTCTGTCTCTCTGTGTCTGTGTTTAACTGAATTATGTCTCTCTGTCTCTGTGTATAACTGGAGTCTGTCTCTCTGATTCTGTGTTTAACTGGAGTCAGTCTCTCTGATTCTATGTTTAACTGGAGTCTGTCTCTCTGATTCTATGTTTAACTGAATTCTGTCTCTGTGTATAATCGGAGTCTGTCTCTCTGTCTCTGTGAATAACTGGAGTCTGTCTCTCTGACTCTTTGTTTAACTGAATTATGTCTCTCTGTCTCTGTGTTTAACTGGAGTCTGTCTCTCTGACTGTGTTTAACTGAATTATGTCTCTCTGTCTCTGTGTATAACTGGTGTCTGTCTCTCTGATTCTGTGTTTAACTGAATTCTGTCTCTGTGTATAATCAGAGTATGTCTCTCTGTATCTTTGTATAACTAGATTATGTCACTCTGTCTCTGTGTATAACTTAAGTCTGTATCTCTGTCACTGTGTATAACTGGAGTGTGTCTCTCTGTCCCTTTGTATAACTTAAGTATGTCTTTCTGTCTCTGTGTATAACGGAAGTCTGTCTCTCTGTCTCTCTGTGTATAACTGGAGTGTGTCTCTCTGTCTCTCTGTATAACTGGAGTATGTCTCTCTTTCTCTGTGTATCACTGTAGTCTGTCCTTCTGTCTCTGTGTATAATTGTAGTCCGTTCTTCTGTCACTGTGTATAACTAGAGTCTGTCTCTCTGATTCTGTGTATAACTGAAGTCTGTCTCTGTCTCTGTGTATTACTGGAGTCTCAGAGTTTTTCGTATCAGACCTCCTCTCCACTGCAGATGTTTCAGTCTCTCACAGTGTCGCAGTCCATTTATTCCTTTAATAAGATGCTTAGAAAAAACAACATCAACAACAACAACAAGTACCTAATAAAAATATCCCATTAGTCAGCGGAGTTGGACGTTCTCTCTTTCTCTCTCTCTAATCGCTCACACAAACAGTCTCCGAAGCTGTCCCTTCCTCTCTCTCCATCTCCCCATAGGTCTGTGAGATGTCTCGTCAATCCTCATTGGCTGGTGATTCATTCCAGAGTTCCAAACCACACCCTCTTCACAGAGAAGCAGCCTGTTGCCATAGCAACCCCAGGGGTCAGGGTTCAGAGGCGTGTCTCAGCCCATGTGGGCGGTGACCTGTGAAGGCCCTCCCCCTGACTGGCTCCCTGCAAATCCCAGCGTCCGAGAGTCAAACAGGAAGTTGGCCTGCTGGCCTCCACTGAGCATGCCCAGACTTTCCGTCAGGGTTCCGCTGGGGGAGGAGCCGAGGAAAGGGTTCTGATTGGCCACAGGGGCACCAGAAGCCGCCATCTTGTCTGGGCTGGCTGCGTAACTGTAGAGACCGTAGTGGGGGGAATGGAGGTGGATACTACCGTAGCCATGGGGCGGAGTTTGCAGGTAGCCAATCTGAGAGGGGGGTAGGGACAATGAGCAGAATACTTTGCTGTCATAAGCTGACGGTCCTCGCGACGCAGGAAGTGGGAAGGGGGAAGGGGGGTTGCCGTAGCGATGGAGGGGGTGTGTCGGTCGGCTGCAGGTGTAGTCCAGGAGAAAAACTGGGGAAAGGTTGTTTTTTTCAAAGAAAAAAGTCTTTTCCCCCCCCCCCCCCCCCCCCCCCTTTTTTTTATAATTTTTTTTTAAAGGGTATGTCTTTTTCTTTTTTTCCTTCTTTTTTTTTAAATTTAAACGGAAAGGTCTGTCCTTTTTTTTTTTTTTTTTTTTTTTTTTTTGCTCCTTTAACCACCCCGTCCCCTGAAAAAAAAAATTTCCCTTTCCTGGTTCCTTTCCCCTTCCCCTTCTTTCTCTTGTAAAAAGCCCTTCCGAACTGTTTTTTCCCTTCTTTTACCCCCCTGGTTTTCTGAAGTTTTTCTCGTCCCCTTGGGGCTGGGTTAAATTTTTCCCGGATTCCCCCCAACCAACCCTTTTCCCCCAAAAAGGGAAGCCAGCCTTTTTTGGCCTTAGCAACCCCAAAAAAATTTAACCTTTAAAATTTCCCGGGGGGGCCGGGAGGGAAAGGCCCTCCCCCTTCTCTCCCTCAAACCCCGCCCCAGACAAACACCCCAAGGGGCCCTTTTTCCCTTCCATTTTCCCTTTGGGCCCAGATTTTTCCGTAAATTCCCCTTGGGGGGGACCAAAAAGGGTTCCCAAACCACACCCCCAGAACCCCACCCTTGTTTGGCCTGGCCCCGGGTAATTTTAAGGGGCCGTTTAAGTGGGGGGAAGGGAAAGGTTGGATCTAACCAAACCCCAGGGGGGTTTCCGGACCCCAAACGGAAAGGGGGTGGGCCCCAATGGGGCAGAAATTTTGCGGGTTCCCTTGGGTGAGTTCCCGGAAAAGGGGGCGTTGGGAAGGGGGGAAGGGGGGTTTGCCGGAGCCGTTTTGGGGGGGTGGGTTTGGTCCTCCGGTTACCAGGGGGAAAAAGGAGGGCCCAAAACCTTGAAAAGGGGGGGGGAAAAGAGCGGGTAGAAATTTTTTCTCCTCCTGGGGCCCCCGGGAAAACTTCCGGCGATAAAAGGGGGTTTTGGGGCCCGGTTATTAAAAAAGGGGGACAGGAAAGGGGAGGGAACAGGAAACTTTCCCAACCCCCATGGGGGGGACCCGGCAAAGAAAGAAAAAGGGGGTTAGGGACACCAGTATCATTAAGACAGACAGACGGGGGGTTAGGGACACCAGAAATCATTAAAACAGACAACGGGGGGTTGGGGACACCAGTACCCATTAAGACAGCCCAGACGGGGGTTTAGGGACACACCATTAAATAAAGACAAAAGGGGGGTTTGGGGGACCCCAAATATAATTACGACAGACGGGACAGACGGGGGGTTTAGGGACACCATTATCATTACGACAGAACAGAAAAGACAGGGGGTTAGGGAAAAACCAGTATCATTATAGCCCAACAAAACAACGGGGGTTGGGGACACCAGAAATCTTTACAGACGACAACAGCCCAGACGGGGGGGGTTTAGGGACCCCTATCATTAAAAGAAGCCAAAACGACAGACAGGGGTTAGGGACACCATATCATTACAGACAAAAACCAGGGGTTTTTTTAGGGCCCCCAGAAAATCATTATAGACAGACAAAACAACAGACAACGGGGGGTTTAAAGGACCCCCGAAAATCATTATAGCAGACAGACAGACCCCGACAGGGGGTTGGGCCACCAAAATCATTATAACGACGACAGACAGACGACAGAAAACCCGGGGGTTAAGGACCCCAAAATCTTTAAATGACAAGACAGCCCAGACGGGGGGTTAGGGAAAACCAGAAATCATTATAGCCAGACAACAGAAGACGGGGGGTTTGGGGACCCAAAATCATTCCCGAAGACAGAGACAGAAAACGACAGACAGACAGACAACGACGACGGGGGGTTTAGGGAAAAACCAGTATCATTACAAACAACAACAGACGGGGGTTTAGGGAAAACCAGTAAAAAATTAAAAGACAGACAGACAGCCGGGGGGTTTAGGGACACCAGTATCATTAAAACCAACAGACAGGGGGTTGGGGGCCCACCAAAATCATTAAAAGAAAACCCGACAACGGGGGGTTGGGGACCCCAGAAATCTTACAGACAAAACAGACGGGGGGTTTTAAGGGCACCAGTATCTTTAAACAGACAGACAGAGGGGGGGCTAGGGACCCCATTATAAATTACGACAGACAGACAGACGGGGGGTTTGGGGGACCCCCCTTAAAATTTCAGAAAACCCAACGGGGGGTTTGGGGACCCCATATCTTTATAGCAGACGACAGCGGGGGTTTGGGGAAACCCCAGTACTTTAAGCAGACAGCCGCCCAGGGTTTTAGGGACCCATATCATTACAGCCCGACGACAACGACGACAGGGGGTTGGGGAAAACCCGTATCTTTAAAAGGGCCCACAACAGACGCCCGGGGGGTTTAAAGGGAAAACCAGTATCTTATAGACAACAAAACGGGGGTTTTTGGGACACCAGTATCTTACAGACAGACAACAAAAAACGGGGGGTTAGGGACACCATTATCATTACAACAAGACAGACAACAGACAGGGGGTAGGGACACCATATCTTTTAAGACAAAACAGACGGGGGGTTTAGGGACACCATACATTTTAGACAGACAACAACAGACGGGGGGTTTAAAGGGAAACACCAGAAACTTTAAGCCAGCAGGGACAGACAGCCCGGGGGTTAGGGACCCAAAATCATTAAAAAGGACAGACAGACAGACAGGGGGGGTTTTTAAGGACAAACCAGTATAAATTATAGACAGACGACAACAGACAGGGGTTTGGGGACCCTTTACTTTAAAATAAAACAAAAAGACAGACAGCAGGGGGTTGGGGGGAAAAACCAGTTTCATTCAACAGACAGACAGAAAACCGACCAACAGACGACAAAACAGACAGAAAACGGGGGGTTGGGGACACCATATCATTACGACAGCCCAAAGACAGAGGGGGGGTTTTAGGGACACCATTATCATTACAGCCCGACAGCAGACAGGGGTTAGGGACACCAGTATCATTACAACAGACAGACGGGGGGTTAGGGACACCCAGTACCTTTATAACAGACAGACAACGGGGGGTTAGGGACACCAGTATAAATTACAAAAACAGACGGGGGGGTTTGGAAAACCCAGAAAATCATTACAACAGAACGGGGGGTTAGGGACCCATTTATAAATTACAGACAGACAAAACAGACGGGGGGTTGGGGACCCAAAGTATAAATTACGCAGCCAGACAGGGGGTTAGGGACACCAGAAAATTTAGACGACAGACATACGGGGGGTTTTAAGGGACACCAGTATCATTACAACAGACAAAACCGACAGACGACAACAGACAGGGGGGTTTAGGGAAAAACCAGTATTTTAAACAGACAAAACAGACAGACGGGGGTTAGGACACCGGGCCCTTACAGACAGACAGACAGGGGTTAGGGACCCAGTATCATTAAGAAGACAGACAGGGGTTGGACCCCAGTATCATTATAGACAACAACGGGGGTTAGGGAACCTTTACATTTAGACAGACAAAAGGGGGGTTTTGGGGAACACCAGTATCATTATGACAGACGACGGGGGGGTTGGGGGACACCAAATCATTACAGACAGACAGACTCCCGGGTTGGGGACACCAGTACATTACAGACAACGACAGCCGCCCGGGGGTTTAGGGAAAACCAAAATATTTGAAGACAACAAAAAGGGGGTTAGGGAAAAACCAGAAATCATTCCCGACAGACAGCCCGACAAAACAGGGGTTTAGGGACACCAGAAATCTTTACAAAGACAGCCCCGCAGACAGGGGGTTGGGGACACCAGTACCCATTACAGACAACCACGGGGGTTAGGGACCCCAGAAATCATTATAGACGACGACAGACAGACAACGGGGGGTTTAAAGGGGACCCAGTATCATTATAGACAGACAACGACAGACGGGGGGGTTAGGGACCCCAAGTATCATTATAACAAAAGACAGACGACAGACAGACGAACAGGGGGTTAAGGACACCGAATCTTTTATAAAACAGACAGACAACAGCCCGGGGGTTTTAGGGACACCTATCTTTATAGACAGACAGACAAAAAGACGGGGGTTAAAGGGGGACACCGGGATCATTCCAGACAGACAGACAACAACAACATACAGCCCCAACGGGGGGTTTAGGGCCACCAGTACCCTTCCCGCAGACAAAAAACCCGGGGGGTTAGGGACACCAGTATCATTACAGACAGACAGACAGACAGGGGGTTAGGGACACCAGTATCATTACAGACAGACAGACAGGGGGTTAGGGACACCAGTATCATTATAGACAGACAGACAGACAGGGGGTTAGGGACACCAGTATCATTACAGCCCCGAAAACCCGGGGGGTTAGGGAAAACCAGTATCATTACAGCCCGAAAAGACAGGGGGGGCTAGGGACACCATATCATTACAACAGACAGACAGAGGGGGGGTTTTAGGGACCCAGAAATCTTTACAAAACAGACAGCCCGGGGGTTAGGAAAACCCATTTCTTTAAAGCCCGACAAAAAGACAGGGGTTGGGGACACCATATCATTACAGACAGACAGACAGACAGGGGTTTGGGGAAACACCATATCATTACAGACAACAAACAGACGACAGAAAAAAAGGGGGTTAGGGACCCCCGTTCATTACGACAGACAGCAAAAACCCGGGGGTTAGGGAAAACCAGTACCCATTATAAAAGACAACAGGGGTTAGGGACACCATATCTTACACAGCAGACAACCCGGGGGTTAGGGACCCCAGTATCATTCAACAGACAGACAAAACAGACAGGGGGTTGGGGGACACCGTATCAAAAAAACCAAAGGCCCGGGGGGTTGGGGGAACACCAGTATCATTTAGCCCGACAGACAGACGCCCGGGGGTTTAAGGACACCAGTTCATTATAGAAAACAGACAAAACAGACGGGGGTTTAAAAGGGACACCAGTACCCTTAAAAGACAGACGACAGACGACCGGGGGGTTAAAGGACCCCTATCATTATGACAACAAAACAGACAACGGGGGGGTTAGGGAAAACCAGTATCTTAAAAACCCGCCCAAAAGGACAGACAGGGGGTTGGGGAAACACCAGTACTTCCAAAAACAGACAGACGAACAACAACAGACAGACAGACCCCAACAGACCAGACGGGGGGTTTTAGGGACCCCAGTATAAATTACAGACAGACAACAAAAACAGACAGGGGGTTGGGGAAACCATATCTTAAAAGCCCGCCCAACAACAGGGGGTTAGGGCCCCCCGTATCATTCCAGACAGAAAACCCAGGGGGTTAGGGAAAACCTTTCATTATAGACAGACAGACGCCCGGGGTTAAAAGGGCACCAGAAATCATTACAGACGACAGCAGGGGTTTAGGGACACCAGTATCATTAAACAGACAAAACGGGGGGTTAGGGACACCAGTATCTTTACAGACGACAGACAGACGGGGGGGTTGGGCCCCCAAAATCATTCAGAAAACCCAGACAGGGGTTAGGGCCCACCAGAAATAATTAAAAGACAGACAGACAGCCCGGGGTTTTTAGGGCCACCATATTTAAAAGACAACGACAGCAGGGGTTGGGGGACACCAGTATCATTACAGCCCGACAGACAAGAAAACAACGGGGGGGTTTGGGACACCAGTATCATTACAACGCCCGACAACAACAGGGGGTTAGGGACACCATTCTTTAAAGACAACAGACGGGGGTTAGGGCCCACCAGATCTTTAAAAACCCGACAGACGACAGACGGGGGTTTTAAAGGGACCCCATATCATTACGACAGACGCAGGGGGGGGGGAAACCCCAGTTCATTATAGAAAAGACCGACAACAGACCGGGGGTTTGGGACCCCCAGAAATCATTCCCGAAAAGGGGTTAGGGACCCAGAAAATAACATTAAGACAGACGACAACGGGGGGTTTGGGGACCCCCTATCATTACAAAACAACAGACAGACAACAGACGGGGGGTTTTGGGACCCCTATCATTACAGAAAAACAGACGGGGTTGGGGAAAAACCAGTATCATTACAGACAGAAAGACAGGGGGTTAGGGCCCCCCAGTACTTTTATACCGCCCAGGGGGGGGTTTTAGGGACACCAGATCATTACGCCCGACAACAGACGGGGGGTTAGGGACCCCCCAGTATCATTACAACAGACAGACCAGCAACAACAGACGACAGACAACCAGACAGAAAAGGGGGTTAGGGACACCATTTATATTACAAAAACAGACAGACAGACAACAGACAGGGGTTGGGGAACACCAGAAAACCCTTTTACAGAAGACAACAGGGGGGGTTAGGGACACCAGTATCATTACAGACAGACAGACAGACGGGGGTTAGGGACACCAGTATCATTACAAAGACAGCGGGGGGTTGGGGAACCCAGCCATTCCCAACCGACAGACAGGGGGTTGGGGAACCAGAAACATTATAGACAGCCAGAAAAAGGGGTTAGTGACACCAAAATCTTAAACAGCAGCGACAGAGGGGGGGTTTTAGGGACACCAGTACATTACGACAGAAGACAGGGGGTTAGGGAAAACCAGTAAAATTAAACCGACAGACGGACAGACAGCAGACGGGGGGGGTTTGGGACACCAGAAATCTTTAAATGACAGACAGACGACAACGGGGGTTTTGGACCCCAGATCATTATAACAGACAACAGACAGGGGGTTGGGGAAAACACCAAAATCATTATGACAAGACAGACGACAGACAGGGTTTAGGGACCCCAGTATCATTACAACGACAGACGACAGACGGGGGGTTTTTTGGGACCCCGTATCTTTAAAAGACGACAGAAGGGGGTTAGGGAAAAACCAGTACATTACAGAAGCATCCGACAGACAAAACGGGGGGGGGGGGGTTTGGGGGGGGACCAACCAGTATCATTAAGACAAAACAGACAGACAGGGGGTTAGGGAAAACCAGATCTTACAAAAAACAGACAGACGACAGACAGGGGTTGGGACCCCAGTATCTTTACGAAAACAGACGGGGGTTAGGGACCCAGTATCATTCAGACAGCAGACAGACAGGGGGTTAGGGACCCCAGTATCATTACGCAAAACAGAAAACCAGAAGGGATAGGGATACCATATCATTAAGACAGAAAACCCGGGGGTTGGGACACCAGTATCATTAACGACAACGACAGGGGGTTAGGGACACCAGTTCATTATAGAAAACCAACAGCCGGGGGGTTTAGGGACACCAGAAACTTTCCCGACGACGACAGCCGACAGGGGGTTTGGGGGAAAACCATTAAATCATTCCAGACAGCCAACAGACGACAGGGGGTTTGGGTTACACCCGAAATCATTACAGACAGACAGACAAACAGGGGGTTAGGGACCCATTATCACCCCCGACGACAGAAGCCCAGACGGGGGGTTAGGGACCCAGTTCATTATAGACAGAAAACCCGGGGGTTGGGGACACCAGTATCATTTTTAAAAAAAAAAAACAAAAAAAACGGGGGGTTGGGGAACCCGTATATTAAAACCCAAAACAAACAGACAGACGGGGGGGTTTGGGGACCCCATACCCTTTTTATAGACGGGCAGAAAAGGGGGTTTTGGGGAACCAGTACATTACAGACAGACAGACAGGGGTTGGGGAACACCAGTATCATTAAAATACAGACAAAACGGGGGGGTTTTTGGGACCCAGTATAAATTAAAACAGACAGACAGACAGAAAAGGGGTTTAGGGACACCATATCATTATAGAGGGACAGACAGGGGTTGGAAAACCAGTATCATTAAAAAGGACAGACAGACAACAGGGGGTTAGGGACACCTTTACATTACAGACAACAGAACAGACAGGGTTGGGGACCCCTTATCTTTACAGACGACGGGGGGGGTTTTGGGAAAACCGTACATTACAGCCCAACGACAACCCAACAGACAGAGGGGGGGTTTTAGGGACCCCAGTATCATTTAAAAACCGACATCCCGGGGTTGGGGACCCAGTATCATTACAGACGCCCGACACGGGGGTTTTAAGGAAAACCAGTATCATTACATACAGACGACGCCAGGGGGTTGGGGAAACCCCAGTATCTTTTAATAACAGACGACAGGGGGTTAGGGACACCAGTATCTTTAAAGGGACAGAAAGAGGGGGTTAGGGACACCAAAAATCTTTAAATAGACAGCAGACGGGGGGGTTAAAGGGACCCTATCATTAAGACAGACGCAGCAGACAAAAACCCGACGGGACAGACAACAGACAGACGACAAAACAGACAACAGAAAAAGGGGGTTTTAGGGACCCATTTCATTATAGCCCGACAGACGGGGTTTTAGGGAACCCGGGATCATTACAACAGACGGGCAGGGGGGGGGGGAAACCCCAGTTCTTTATAAACAGACAAAACAGGGGTTTAGGACCCAGAAATCATTACAGAAAACCCAACAACGAAAAGACAGACAGGGGGTTAGGGAAAACCATATCTTCCAGACAGACAGACAAGACAGAAAAGGGGGGTTAGGGAAAACCATATATTACAACAGACGAAAAAAGGGGGTTAGGGACACCAGTATCATTATAGACAAGACAACAAAATAAAAAGGGGGGGTTAGGGACACCAGAAACTTTATAGAAAGACGAAAAGACAAACGGGGGGTTTTGGGAAACCCATTATCATTCAGACAGCCCGACAAGGGGGGTTGGGGACCCAGAAATCTTTACAGACAGACAGACAGGGGGTTAGGGACACCAGTATCATTAAACCGAAAGACGCCCGGGGTTTTGGGAAAACCATTATCATTATAGACGACAACAACAGGGGTTTAGGGACACCAGTACATTTACAGACAGACACCAGACAGAGGGGGGGTTTAAAGGGACCCCAGTATCATTCCCGACAGACAGCCAGACAGGGGGTTGGGACACCGTATCATTACAGACAAAAAAAGGGGGTTAGGGAACCCAGAAATCTTCCCGACAGCCCGACAGGGGGGTTAGGACACCAGTACATTACGACAGACAGAAAAAGACAACAGCCCCGGGGTTTGGACACCAGTATCTTTACAGACAGACAGACAGCCCGGGGGTTAGGACCCTTATCATTACAGAAGCCGGGGGTTTTAGGGACACCATTCATTACAACAACGACGACGGGGGGGTTAGGGACACCAGTACCCATTATGGGACAACCAAAAAGGGGGTTGGGACACCAAAACCCCTTTAAAACAGACAGACAGACAGACAGGGGGTTAGGGACACCAGTATCATTACAGACAGACAGACAAGACAGGGGGTTAGGGACACCAGTATCATTATAGACAGACAGACCAGACAGGGGGTTAGGGACACCAGTATCATTATAGACAGACAGACAGACAGGGGTTAGGGACACCAGTATCATTACAGACAGACAGACAGACCGGACATTACGGTAGGGACACCGTATCATTAGGACAGACAGACAGACAGGGTTTTAACCTTCATAGACAGACAGACAGACAGACAGGGGGTTAAGGACACCAGTATCATTACAGACAGACAGACAGACAGACAGACAGACAGACAGACAGACAGACAGGGGGTTAGTGAACAGTACCATCGTTGTAAAACATTAACTCAGAAAGTTGTAGTAACAATAACTTTACTAGCTTCTACTTCTAACAGAAACGGTTTCACCTTGTTTCATTCCAGGGATGTCTTCAAACGTCAGCGTTCTGAGAGAAGGACGCCAGAACCCATATGACTCTGCAAGAGCCTCCAGGCCCATCCTGCAACACACACACACACACACACAAACACACACACAAACACACACACGGTTAGATTAAACACAAACACACACGCACATTCACAGAGTCAGATACACTTAATGGCCATAAGTATGTGGAAACCTGCTCTTTGAACTTCTCATTCCAAAACCCTGCTACCACCCCACCATACCTCACCCTGCTACCCCCCACCATACCTCACCCTGTAACCCCCCCCACCATACCTCACCCTGTAACCCCCCCACCATACCTCACCCTGCTACCCCCCACCATACCTCACCCTGTAACCCCCCACCATACCTCACCCTGTAACCCCCCCACCATACCTCACCCTGTAACCCCCACCCATACCTCACCCTGCTACCCACACCATACCTCACCCTGCTACACCCCCACCATACCTCACCCTGTAACCCCCCCACCCATACTACCGTTAACCCCCCACCATACCTCACCCTGCTACCCCCCCACCATACCTCACCCTGTAACCCCCCCACCATACCTCACCCTGTAACCCCCCCACCATACCTCACCCTGCTAACCCCCACCATACCTCAACCTGTAACCCCCCCCACCATACCTCACCCTGCACCCCCACCATACCTCCCCCGCTACCCACCACACCTCACCGTAACCCCCAACCATGACCCACCCGCGGCCCCCCCCACCATACCTCACCCTGCTACCCCCCACCATACTCACCCTGCTACCCCCCACCATACCTCACCTGCTACCCCCACCATACCTCACCCTGCTACCACCCCACCATACCTCACCCTGCTACCACCCACCAACCTCACCCTGCTACCACCCCACCATACCTCACCCTGCTACCACCCCACCATACCTCACCCTGCTACCCACCCCCCACCATACCTCACCCTGCTACACCCCACCATACCTCACACTGCTACCACCCACCATACTTCCACCCTGCTACCACCCCACCATACCTCACCCTGCTACCACCCACCATACTTCACCCTGCTACCCCCACCATACTCACCCTGCTACACCCCAACCATACCTCACCCTGCTACACCCCACCATACCTCACCCTGCTACACCCCACCATTCCTAACCTGCTACCCCACCGCACCCTACCTAACCCTGCTACCCCCACCATACCTCACCCTGCTACACCCCCCATTCCTCACCCTGCTACCCCCACCATTCCTCACCCTGCTACCCCCCACCATACCTACCCTGCTACCCTCACACCATACCTCACCCTGCTACCCCACCATACCTCACCCTGCTACCCCCACCATACCTCACCCCTGCTACCCCCCCCCACCATACCTCACCCTGCCCCCCCCCCCCCCCCCCCCCCCCCCACCCATACTGTAACTTGCTACCCCCCCCCACTATACCGCAACATGGTACCCCCAAACATACCTCACCCTGCTACCCCTCCACCAAACCTCACCCTGTAATACCACACCATACATCACCCTGCTACCCTCCCACCATACCTCAACCTGCTACCCCCACCATTCCTCACCCTGCTACCCCCACCATACCTCACCCTGCTACCCCCACCATTCCTCACCCTGCTACCCCCACCATACCTCACCCTGCTACCACCCCCACCATACCTCACCCTGCTACCCCCACCATTCCTCACCCTGCTACCCCCACCATTCCTCACCCTGCTACCCCCACCATACCTCACCCTGCTACCACCCCACCATACCTCACCCTGCTACCCCCCACCATACCTCACCCTGCTACCACCCCACCATACCTCACCCTGCTACCCCCACCATACCTCACCCTGCTACCCCCCCCACCATACTTCACCCTGCTACCCCCCACCATACCTCACCCTGCTACCTCCTCACCATACCTCACCCTGCTACCCCCCCACCATACTCCACCCTGCTACCCCCCACCATACCTCACCCTGCTACCCCCACCATACCTCACCCTGTAACCCCCCCACCATACCTCACCCTGCTACCCCCCACCATACCTCACCCTGCCACACCCCACCATACCTCACCATGCTACCCCGTCCACCATACCTCACCATGCTACCCCGTCCACCATACCTCACCCTAGTACCCCCAACCAACCTCACCTGCAACCCTGTCCCCCCCAAATTATATCACACTGCTACCACCCCACCATACCTCACCCTGCTACACCCCACCATACCTCACCCTGTACACCCCACCATACCTCACCCTGCTACCCCCACATACCTCACCTGCTACCCCACAATAACTCACACCTGCTACCCCACCATACCTCACCCTGCTACCACCCCACCATACCTCACCCTGCTACCCCCACCATTCCTCACCCTGCTACCCCCACCATTCCTCACCCTGCTACCCCCACCATACTCACCCTGCTACCACCCCACCCATACCTCACCCTGCTACCCCCCCACCATACCTCACCCTGCTACCACCCACCATACCTCACCCTGCTACCCCACCATACCTCACCCTGCTACCCCCCCACCATAACTTCACCCTGCTACCCCCCCACCATCTCACCGCTACCACCACCATACCTCACCCTGCTACCCCCCCAATACCTCACCTGCTACCCCCCCCATACCTCACCTGTAACCCCCCCACCATACCTCACCCTGCTACCCCCACCCCATACCTCACCCTGCTACCCCCCCACCATACCTCACCCTGCTACCCCCCACCATACCTCACCATGCTACCCCGTCCACCATACCTCACCCTAGTACCCCCAACCATACCTCACCCTGCAACCCTGTCCCCCCCCAAATTATATCACACTGCTACCACCCCACCATACCTCACCCTGCTACCACCCCACCCATACCTCACCCTGCTACCACCCCACCATACCTCACCCTGCTACCCCCCCACCATACCTCACCCTGCTACCCCCCACCATACCTCACCCTGTAACCCCCCCCACCATACCTCACCCTGCTACCCCCACCATACCTCACCCTGCTACCCCCACGATACCTCACCCTGCTACCACCCCACCATACCTCACCATGTACCCCCCACCATACCTCACCCTTGCTACACCCCACCATACCTCACCATGCTACCCCCACCATACCTCACCCTGCTACCCCCACCATACCTCACCCTACTACCCCCACCATACCTCACCCTGCTACCCACCCCACCATACCTCACCCTGCTTCCCCCACCATTGCTTACCCTGCTACCCCCCACCATACCTCACCCTGCTACCCCCACCATACCTCACCCTGCTACCCCCACCATACCTCACCCTGCTACCCCCACCATACCTCACCCTGCTACCCCCACCATTCCTCACCCTGCTACCCCCCACCATACCTCACCCTGCTACCACCCCACCATACCTCACCCTGCTACCCCACCATACCTCACCCTGCTACCTCCCCACTATACCTCAACATGGTACCCCCAAACATACCTCACCCTGCTACCCCCCCACCAAACCTCACCCTGTAAAACCACACCATTCCTCACCCTGCTACCCTGTCTCCCCACCATACCTCACCCTGCTACCACCCCACCATACCTCACCCAGCTATCCCCCCACCATACCTCACCCTGCTACCCCCCCACCAAACCTCACCCTGTAAAACCACACCATTCCTCACCCTGCTACCCTGTCTCCCCACCATACCTCACCCTGCTACCACCCCACCATACCTCACCCAGCTATCCTCCCACCATACCTCACCTGCTATCCCCCCACCATACATCACCCTGCTACCCTCCCACCATCCCTCACCCTGCTACCCCCACCATCCCTCACCGTGCTATCCCCCCATCATACATCACCATGCTACCCCCACCATACCTCACCCTGATACCCCCACCATACAGTGGGGGAAAAAAGTATTTAGTCAGCCACCAATTGTGCAAGTTCTCCCACTTAAAAAGATGAGAGAGGCCTGTAATTTTCATCATAGGTAGACGTCAACTATGACAGACAAAATGAGGGGAAAAAAATCCAGAAAATCACATTGTATGATTTTCTATGGGGTTGAGATCTGGAGACTGGCTAGGCCACTCCAGGACCTTGAAATGCTTCTTACGAAGCCACTCCTTCGTTGCCCGGGCGGTGTGTTTGGGATCATTGTCATGATGAAAGACCCAGCCACGTTTCATCTTCAATGCCCTTGCTGATGAAAGGAGGTTTTCACTCAAAATCTCACGATACATGGCCCCATTCATTCTTTCCTTTACACGGATCAGTCGTCCTGGTCCCTTTGCAGAAAAACAGCCCCAAAGCATGATGTTTCCACCCCCATGCTTCACAGTAGGTATGGTGTTCTTTGGATGCAACTCAGCATTCTTTGTCCTCCAAACACGACGAGTTGAGTTTTTACCAAAAAGTTATATTTTGGTTTCATCTGACCATATGATATTCTCCCAATCCTCTTCTGGATCATCCAAATGCACTCTAGCAAACTTCAGACGGGCCTGGACATGTACTGGTTTAAGCAGGGGGACACGTCTGGCACTGCAGGATTTGAGTCCCTGGCGGCGTAGTGTGTTACTGATGGTAGGCTTTGTTACTTTGGTCCCAGCTCTCTGCAGGTCATTCACTAGGTCCCCCTGTGTGGTTCTGGGATTTTTGCTCACCGTTCTTGTGATCATTTTGACCCCACGGGGTGAGATCTTGCGTGGAGCCCCAGATCGAGGGAGATTATCAGTGGTCTTGTATGTCTTCCATTTCCTAATAATTGCTCCCACAGTTGATTTCTTCAAACCAAGCTGCTTACCTATTGCAGATTCAGTCTTCCCAGCCTGGTGCAGGTCTACAATTTTGTTTCTGGTGTCCTTTGACAGCTCTTTGGTCTTGGCCATAGTGGAGTTTGGAGTGTGACTGTTTGAGGTTGTGGACAGGTGTCTTTTATACTGATAACAAGTTCAAACAGGTGCCATTAATACAGGTAACGAGTGGAGGACAGATGAGCCTCTTAAAGAAGAAGTTACAGGTCTGTGAGAGCCAGAAATCTTGCTTGTTTGTAGGTGACCAAATACTTATTTTCC